ATTGTATGCATCGAAAGAAAGAATCTAGCTGTAGCTTCCAAATGGAATAATTTCAAAATGTTTAGATAATATAAAAATCAATTAGTTTTAACTTTACAAATGTTAGTACCGTTTGATAATAATCACTAAATATTTGTAAAAATAAAATTATGGTCATATTATCTAAATATTTGGTTGAAGTTATTTTACTCAACATTTGATAATTTTTATAACCAAACTTTTTTTTTTCAATATACTTCGAATGACAGAATTTTACATTGATAAAATAGTAAATTATTCTTATTTTAGATAATAAATTATTCTTATTTTATATATGGAAAAAGATTTATTTGGACTTGAATTCGGACATCTATATGCTACGATATAAATCATAAAAAAAGAATTTCATATGCATCATTATCATTGCATTACTATTTACTATATGACACATACAAAATGACTATCTTAGCTTAATATAAGGTATGTTAGTACGCAATGTAGTTATCTTGTACTAAAAATTTGAAATATTCATAAATAAACACAAGTCCTTTCTTTGTAGGAATTTAAAGTTTAAAGTACAAACATTACAATGTTATGAATCAATCGAAAATGTCAATAACGCATTGTTACTACCATCGCATGGATATTTAAAGCATATGTGGTATCTATACTTTGAACTTTAAACCTTAAATTATTTAAATGACTTATTAAGTGTGTAAGTTGCCTAATTGAAATAGAATTTTATTTTGTAAATTCTTTTAAGATTCTTCTAAGACTCTTATTCCGTTTTATTTTAAAGATCGATATATCGGTTGCAATATATGGCCATACGTGACGAGATTGGCGTAGTCGTGGCATAGCGTCCCTGTCGGAAAGCCGCATCCATTAAAGCGAGGGGCTGGAGTGTGGTTAAACTACCGCAAAGCACCGAAATGTCAGCATTAATATTGCAACCGTCTCTTGCAACCGCCTGCTGGCGGTCGCTTCTATGCTTATTATACTTATTGTATCGTGCTATCGAGCTTAAATATTAAAATCTCGTTTCCGTCCATGATACGTATACCTACATGGATGCACAGAATTGATCGAATTTTATGAATTAATCGATTAACCGAAGGCATGGAATTTTATATTGTTGAGTAATTATTCAACTTCTATGAAATAGTTGTATCGAAATGATTTGAAATTGTTGCTTTGAAATTATTTTTAACCTACGTACAACTTTCCCAAATTTTAATTCAATAAGTGTATGTTTGAATTTTTAATAAGCAAGCTCGGTATTCATTTTTGCGTCGCTCATTGTTTATTAAAGTCCACGCGGTCTAGCTGATTGCGATAAAGGAAAAGGAAGAGATCGATCCATGCAATCGATAACCGGCCTTTGGCGAAACGAGATCGTAATCGCGAGATAATAGTGGTCTCGACACGCTTCCGTCTTCGTGGTCGTATGTCGATTGATGAAAGCACCTATCCGCGGTATTGAAGTTATCGGCACAGGTGTCACGTATACATATACGTTAAATGGGGGCTGCTGATTGGTGTGCGCTTTATACAAGAAGGTATAAGCCTGCCCTTTATGAATACCAAGATGTATCCGGGACGGTAGCCGCAAACACGCGATTCCGGCTGGCGTGGACGTGTCGAATTAATAAGTGAAAAAGTGAGGTCCGACAACGCCGTGACGTACTTCAGAATTGATGTCTGGAAATCTCGACGCAAATAGTTGAGTGAATTGACTGCTTCGGACAAATAGAGAATAAAAGAGAGGAATTTTTTTTATTCGTATTTTAGGACGAATTTTTTAAATTATGTGTAAGAATGCAAAATTAATAATAAGAACTTTATAATGCGAAAGGTGAAACATGAGAGTGTTAGTGTTAATAAGAAAATGTATATTTATTGAAAAAAATGTTGTGATTGAACTAACAAAAGAACTGAACAAGAGTGGCATTTAAGTGAGACCGAACATTTCTGGTTGTGATAATCTGTCTTCATCAAAATATTGCTCTTTTGTTGATTTGATTAGAACATTTTTCTCAGTATTAGAATAATGCGTTGCTATCTATTGTATTTCTTCATCTATTGTATTTCTGCTATGTGAGAAAGATTGCACTGAGAAAAATTTCTGTTGGAAAATAGACGAACCAAAAGATTCTGATCATGTAATATCAATTAAAAAATTCTGATTACCTCAACTATAATTATAATAGATTTAATCAGAAAATTCTGATTTGTTTATTTTTAACCAGAATCCCAATTAATTTAATCAATTTTTTTTTCTAATGAGAGTTGCATTGAAACAAGAATTTATCAGTTACCATTTGACACTCAATGTTTCATGAAGATTTCACTGAGGCTGATTTTACAAGGTAAAATTATATACGCTGATTAATAAATAATATGAACGCATAATTTTTATTTTACGGTATGACAGCAAACAGAGAAGGAAAGAGAAAGCGACATGGGGTTATAGTCGTTCGCGTGATATGTGCAACGGGGCAAAAAGTGCATGTGCAAACCGTAACTTCTTTACGGCCCTCCGGAGAGTCGTCGAACGACGAAGGTGCATCGTATTTATCCGCGTTCATTCCTATTTAAAGGAATGGGTGGGCGTCCTTTCGACAGCCGGTATTTCATTTTGATAAATCGTCGCGTTCGCTGATGTCTACCATTAAACAAGAATTTTGTGAGGCTTCTGTATAAAAGAGTTACATGGATGAATGATTTTGCAGAAGAATCTGAACATTTAGTTAGATATAGATCTGAAAATAATTTTGTTTGACCATCAAAAAATAATTGCATAATATATATACTTCAAGCACTTTCTTACGCTTGAATTAAATTCAAGCAACGAAAAACAACTACAAAAAGTTTTAACATTCTAGTACTCAGTTTGAATTACTACATAACTATTTCAATGGTCCAACAAAATTATTTTCAGATCTGTATTTAACTAAATTTTTAAACATTTTAGCAAAATCATTCTTTCCATACACGCGAACGCGAAAAGACTGTCTTGATAAATATTAAAATATGTTGAAAAATCTATGTATATATTTTTTTTAATTTTTATGCGCTAAAAAAGTTTTGAAAATTAATGCGCATAAGTACGATTGATAGAATTAAACGCGCGTTGTCGCTCATGAAAAAGGATCTTGTCATCGATGTTCTCTAATATCGGTCGAACAATCGATCGTACCCCGCTACTGAATTATGCATCGTATCTTCCCTTCTTTTTTTTCTACAAAATTGTAAGAAAGATTGCCTCAGGCATTATTACATGCATGCATAAGAGAGAAGAGCTCGAGCTCTGGCTTATAAGGTCGCTCTTTATATTTAATTAATTAATGTAAACGCGTACTAGTTTCTAGGAGTCCTTCGCTCGATAATGAAAACGGTTTTGTTAAGGAACATTGTTTAATTTTATTATAGCGACCTGAATAACTTTAATGAAACATATTATCGTCGATTAAGCAGATATTGGTGGAAGATATAAATATACAATTTGAAATAGAGCATAGGAAATATTTTATCTAATTGTCATATTAATACGCGCATCTTGAATTAAGGACAAAGGAAAAATTAAATGCAAATTACCGATCAATATTAAATTCATTATATGAATAATTCACTGAGTGATCTTCCAATATGTACGATGATATGTACGAAATGCGAGAATCAAGACTGAAATCTTTCCCATCCTTTTTACTTCTACGTAACGTCTACGTACTACTGTATGTAGTCGTTACTCTCGTTATTATTTTCCACGTAGTGATCACGTATATCCGCCCATATTTGTGGTGGGTTATCCGGTGAGAGCATGTATTGAAATGTCGTTGCGGGCAAATAAGACGGAGAAAAGGAAAGGTGGGATTATCTGAATACAGTCGTTTCAGGGGTGAGTTGCGACCCCCTAGGGGGTAGTAGGTGGTCGCCCCTGGAGTCTGCCGGACCCCCACGAACTCGTCCCTCTCGTCGTGTGACGTACGGTGGTCATCCTCGCCCCGAATTACCACCATCTTCTCTTTCTCGTCCTCCTTGGAAAAAGGTCTGTCAAATAGATTATTTGAATATCGATCGATCGCATTTACGGCAGGATAATGGCGAGCCGCCCTATTTTCGAGAAATTGTGATCAGCGCAATTTCCTATGCGTCATGATCGCTCGAGTTTTAGCATAATTCGGCCCGCAGCCTGATTGATAAATGCGATGTACTCTGATACTATCTGAACCATTCAGTTCTCTTGATCTCCCGGTTTTAATCAAGACAAATGTAGGTTTCTATCGAATAGAATAGAACTGTGACATAATACATTTATCAGATCATTGAGGAATATTGAGAAACATTCACTGTCTTTAATAGAAAAGGCAGCTTTGCAACTGTTGTAAAATTTCTTAATATGACTTATACATTTAGTATAATTTTTATTATGTACACATTTATTGATTCCATTAAGAAAATAAATGCAAGAATGAATTATATTAAAGACTCTAAATGCAATTATTGTTTAATAATTAGCAGACATAATTTAATGTAAAAATAGTCTAACATTTATATATTAATTTAGATATTAGTTCTATTTGAAATTTAATCTTTCTTATTAATTTTATTAAAACAATAATATGAACGTCATAACAAATATTATTTGAATATGTATAACAACACCGAGGATTGTTTCTCTTGTATATTATATATATATTTCTCTCTCTCTCTCTCTCTCTCGCTATTCTTTTATAATTATATGTACTAAAATTAATTTGAAGAAGACGACAAGGCTGCAGTTTGCAAATATAAATCAATGTCTTCGTCATTGTTTCTTCTGATGAAGAAGCGTGCTATTATCCCCAAAGGAGTAGGTTATAAGTAACCTTAATGTAATTAAAATAAAACTACAATGTTTGCCGATTCGATCAAAGCAAAAAGTATTCGCGCATGTATCGCTCACGGAAAACGAATGATTTTCCCGATCGGCTTATAGTATGGCGTCACTAACGAGGGCTTGGTTGCGCTTTTTGTTTCAGGTAGCGACGCACTCGGTCGAATCGATAAGGAGCCAACCTCGCCGGAATCCATACAAGGTGAGTTTGCAGAGTTGCTTCGTATATTCTTGATACGATTAACGTACGATGCCATTTAATCTTCGTTTACGGTAGACATAAATTTCGTACAGAAATAATACAGCGATAGAATGATACGCGCAAAAAAAGAACGCCTCGTCATGATAATGAACCCGCACCGCCAGTTTTTTAATGTACTTTTATCTGAGACACTATCGTAATCAACAATGTCACTTGAGTTGTCAATCTTAATCAGATTTTATTTTTATAAAACCTTATTTAGATCTGTTATTTATGTAATTTTTACTCGTACAGTGAAATCCAAAACTTATATATATGAAAAAATAGGCTTTTGAAAGTTATAAAAATATATTATTGTATATATAATATAATAATATTTGATAGAATAAAGTGACACAATTTCAAGTATAATATAATTTTGAACGAAATAAGATTTGAATTCAATTTTTGAAGTTTAAGTTTCATTTTTCCTATTTGGTGGTTCAGTACCTTCTATACAATGAGAACAAGGTTATCAAACTTAAACTTTGTATTTGGGTTTAAATTTTATTTTATTCAGAATTGTATCATGTTTGAAATTGTACCACTTTATTCTAATATTTGTAATATTTATGATAATAAAATAAAAAATGTTTATAAAATAAGATATAGATAATCGATTATTTTACAAAAGGTCTTCCATGTCGGAAACATTAGCTAATTTTTTTTCACGTAAAATATATCATAAAACCAATTACGTTCGGCAAATGCCGCTTACACGCAGCAGTTTATCATTTGCCTCGAGGAATTCTTCCGTGTCATATAATCGGCCTTTTAACTTTGGAGAATCGTGTGCATCCATTAGATTTTTCGTTAGGATCATAAAAGAATCACTAAAATATCTAAAAATCCTTTGCGGACGGTCGACTGAATCGTCAATGATTTTCAGAAAAATTTAGTCCCTTTTTTGGGATCCTTTTACGATTTTGACGAAGCGGAACGACTTAGACGAATTTTGAAGTGCTAAAATTGCAAATGGCAACTTGACTCACGCGACACCTACTAAACATAACAGAAAGGGAAGCGCGCGTGTAAATTTTTAGCGTTATATTATCATATCGTGGGAAAGTTTCGGAGCTGCGTGACCATTGTCAGTAAATTGAAATTAGAGGAAACCAATTGGGAATATTATTCTGTAATTTGTCTGTAGATTCCATAGCACGGAAAATTTATATAACTATTTACCAATTATCATAAATTTATTTCATGTTTACGATTTTTTATAATTAGACATATGTTCTATTATAAAGCTCACATTCACTCAGTAAACATGAAAATATTAGAGCATAGTATAATAAATACACTGTTATAATCTAACAGACGACCTTTAGTCCTTTAGATTCTTGCGTGTTTAGCAAAACAAACTTTTATATAACAGACCTAATAAGGAGAATTGTTAATTCCATGAACGTGCGTTTCGAGAACGACGGGACCAACTCGAAGGGTGTCACGCGTCACGAGATCTGACATAGCGTGTATCGTTCTTCGCAGAAAGCGCGATAATGAGGGAGATGACAGAACGTAATGGATGCCGCCAAACGACTGCATCTGCAAAACTAAGAAACTTATTTGACGTGCGTAATAACGCAATCCTGCGAACATGCTTATAATAGTTATAATTATCGGTACATAGTGGCCATGCGACATCTTTTTTATAGTTTCAATATTAATCTGTTATTACATTTAAAAATAATATTGACAGAAGTATTACGTATTGTTCTTAACATCAATGTTGTATTTTATATAAATATTACAATTGTAATATTGTATAATACATTGAGACCATTAATACATTATTGACCGGACGTTTTATGCAAACATTAACGTCTATGGCCGACTATTTTTTTTATAAAATTTCATTTATAATATATAAAATATCAGAAAGAAGCAAATCACGACAAAAAATGAAGACTAAACACAATCACTAATTTTATAATAAAACATTAAGATCCCCCGATATTTATAGTCTGTTCTTATATTTAAGATCGCTTTAAGTATAGTCTTAAGATGTCATAAATCAATTCAAACAGAATCATATTGACATCTCTTTAAGGTCTTGAAATAAAAACAGATTATGAATAATAATTTTAAACTCTAACAACGATTTAGCAAACAACCCGGCTTGTTCAAAACTTAGAGAGCTAAACGCTCCCATTTCTCCAATGTCTCGTTGAATGAGATAAATAGAAAACAAAAAAGATAGAACAGGCAGTCATTTGACAGAGAGAACTCTAGCATCTATTCTTTTTATTTTCCTTTTCGCTCAACGAGACGACAGAGAGAGAGGGAAACGTTCAGTTTTCAAGTTTTGGACAAGTCTGATTTAATACATATGTTTCTTTAGAAAGAACAGCTCACACAAGTGAACTTGTTTTAGTTTTGAGTGAACGGTTGTAACAGTTGTTCAGTCAACAAAACGCTAACTGATACGTCCATGTTCAATAATGTGTTAATTGTGTAATTAATTGTGTAATTGAGATAAATGAAGACTATGCGGTGTCATCAAAGAAATAAACATGATACGGGTTAAAGCTCGATCTCGTCGATGGCACATCGAGCTATCCTCTCAAGATAAAATAAAACGAACGAATGGACAGAAACTAACAAAGGTGTAGAGCTAGCTGACAAAAAATCCGTGGTTGGACCGGCCTCTCGGAAATGCCGAACCGGTCGTAAACAGAGGGGCTCGCGCCCCTTCGCGAACGGTGCTCCTCGTAGAAGTATCACAACGAAAGGAGCGGACCAAGTTCGAGCCAAGAAAGAAAGAAAAAGAAACGATTGGTAAATAGAAGCGAGGTACGAGGGGCGAGAACGGGATCCGATAGGACTTGACCGGTGGTAGCGAGCGGGATGGGGTGAAGGACACCGTCACCGACCTGTGTTTTACTTTATAGCATTTAGTCCGTTGTTTGTCTTATTGCTATTAGTCTCCGTCAATTAGTAATTGCATTTTTAATGTCGATTCTGTGAATCGGGTCCACCAGTCCGACGCGGTGAGCAGCACGGGGGCCCCAACCTTGGTGGTTCTCAAGCGGGCCCGGGCGAACGGCTTAGTGGGGAGAAATCGTGCTCTTTCCTTGTGTCGGTCGGTAGGCACCGGACGCTGCTGTCAAGAGGGGGGCATGTCATTAGGAGTCATTAATATCGCGGACCTCTGTAATTTGACACACTTCCGATCGCCTAGCGCCACCACTACCATCGCCACCACCCGCTTCATTTTTCTCTACCTCCACGTCTTCCGAACGCATTTCGCGACCATTCGCCCCGCGGCCACCTCATCGGCTTCTCCTTGTCTTCCTTTTTGCGCTTCCCTGCGAATCACCATGTCAGGAACGATGAAACTGCCGACGAAACGTCGTATACTCTGCGGCATGTTGTTATTCGTGTCATTTCGCGTGATAGTCAGGGGTTATTATTCTCACGAAAGAAATAATCGCATGTTTGTCTCAGATTTTGTTGAATTTCGGAGAGATGTCGCGAGAGTTTAAAATATATATATACGGAAAGAACAGTTTTATTGAAGTACCTAGAAATTTAGCAAAATACAAAATGATTTTATTGGACTATTAAAATTATGTAAATAGAAACATTATGTAGTAGCTTAAACGTTTGATGATTATACTGCAAAAAGTTTTAGCATTCTAGTAATCCTACATAATTATTATAAATAAAATTATTTTCAGATACTTATATCTAGTTAAATTTTCAGATGCTTCAACAAGGATATTCTTTCCGAATTTAGAACATAATTTTTAGAAATAATATGTAATATATTATAATATTTAAATCTAATTATTGATACAACTAAATTTATAATGATAATATTTTAATTACGCTATTAAGAATTCTTCAATAACAAATGAATGATATATCAATATTAATTAATCTAAAAAATAGTTTGTCGCTTGTTGCATGCTTGATTATCGATGTTAGATCGTTTATGCGCTTATATTATACTTGAGGCGCAATTACCTCTTATTAAGCCGTCAAAGCGAATCGAGACTTAGTGCTCGAAGCCGATACGTGTCCGATTATGAAATCGTTCTCGAGCGGATGCAATCGCTTGGTAATGCAGCCGCGATTAATATGATCCGCGGATGCTAATCGAGATTCTAATCGTTTATTCTCGCATCGTACCCGCACACCTGTTCGACCGATATGGCTAGACTAGGGATTCTTTTAACACAGACTTCTCCGAGATCTTTCGAGCAGTCATGTTACTTATCATACTTTCTAATGTTGCTAGTACAAGCTTTTTATTTTCATAACAAAATGATGTCAGCTGCCATTAATTACAAGTAAAAAAAATCATAAATGTCACTTTGAACTGTGAAATCAAAGAGAGAGCAAACAGTCACAATACTTATTTTATTTGATTTGTTATTTGTGACAACAAATGGCAACAATGTTGCTTTTTTGTGAATGGTAAAAGAAAAACATTGGATTTTGCATTTTTTCTAAATATTCTTTTATACTATGATTTTTTTAATTGCATCTTAAATCTTATGAAAATACTAATATATATATTTTTTAATTAAAGCACGTTAAATATTAATAGTCGTTTCTTACAAATAATTCAAGATTACAGTCATCGTTTTTATATCCTGTGAGTAATTGTAAGAATGATCGATCGAAGCGCATCGCTAGCTTTACATTTGAAGAATCGTCTTTGCGTTTGCATCTCGAATCAAAGTAAACGACAAAAGTCGATGACGATGGAAATCCTGAAGAACTGGACGAGGATCGATTTCGCTTGGCATGCAAACGATTCCTGCGATAAACTCGTCTGAAGACTGTTCACTCATGCAGGCACGGACGATAGTACATCTTCTTGGTGACTTTGTTATTCAAATCGTTCGTCGGGCCAAGGCTCGATCGTGGAAAATCGCTTTTGAATGTTAAAATACTTTTCCGATTTCTACGAAGGAAGTTCTATTCTTCACACCTTGGCCCAAAACCGC